TGGGAGAGCTCAGGGGCTCCTGCCACAGCTCCCTACCACCCACACCCACCCCTCACCCTCCCAATTTGCCCACCAGACCTGCTCCCACCCTGCCCCAGGGCCATGCCAAGCATCCTGGACCTCACCCTGTGCCCCAAGAGCCACCCCCTTGCCCAGGAACCATCCTGCACCCCCAGGACCATGCCAGGTGCCCAATCCATGTGCTTTGGACCCATCCTATGCCCTGAGGGCCATTCCACAGCCCTGCCCTCCCACCCCCCAAGCTGCCCCACATGTCCTGGACCCATCTCTCCAGAGCCACCCCATGTACCCTGAACATATCCTGCACCCTTCAGTCCACCCTACACCCATCCTGCACTCCCCAAGCCACCTCCGCAGTGCATCCTGGCCCCATCCTGCACCCTGCCCCACCAGGAACACCCATGGGCCAGGGTCCCAGGGCAGAGAAGGGGCTGGTGTGTGGTGAGTACCTACCTTCTGTCAGTCCCCATGGTGCGTAGAGAGATGGAGAGTGGGTTAGAGACCCCTGAGGCCAGGGCCACCTGTACCCCCCTGACAGCACCTGCACCAGGCACAGCCTCGGGGTGCCCACTACAGTGTCACACCTGGGGGTCACTGTGTGACCCCTGGCACAGGTTGTGCTCACCTGCTTTAAAATGGAGCAGCTCTTGGAGTCCACGTTGTAGCTGGTGATAGGAGAGCAGAGCCCTGAGCCCCAGGAGGCAGCCCTGCTTCCCCCACCCGTTGTGCTTTTCACTGCTGTATCCTTATTTATTATCCTTATTTATTATCCTTATTTATTACGGCTATTTATCACTGACTCGGTGCTTTGCTCCACCCCAAGCTGGTGCTGAGCCCTTCCCCAGCCATCCCACTCACACATCGAAGCGGAGGTTTTGCTTCTCCTCAAAATAGTAGTCGAGGACGAACTTGCGGACGAAGTCGGGGTTCAGGGTGTTGTCAATCACCTCGGTGCGCCCAAACTGCGGAGACTGGGGTGTGAGCAGCCCCCCCACCCTGGGAGCCCTCCCCAGTGCAGCTGCCTTGGTGCTAATCCCGGTGGGGGGATTAATGCTGTTGGCGGGACCAGATCACTAGCGTGGATGTGCGTGGCCATATGGGCCCGTTTAACCCAGACGGGGATTAGGCAGGAGCACAGGCACTGGGAGCAGCAGCAACCCCGGCACGGGGCTGGGAGCATCCCCAGGGACCCGCTGAGAGGGACCATGCTCACCTCCTTCCACTCGCTGCTCCCTGAGCTCTGCACGAAGAGGACCACCACTGTGGGGAGAGGAGCAGAGCCAGGCTGCCGTGCCGTGCTGTGCCCGTGCTGTGCCCCCTGCCCAGCCCTGCCACCCACCTGGGTCAGACTTGGAAAACGTGTCCATGTCCAGCAGGTTCCTGGGGGGATGAAGCCAGGTGTGAGTCACCTTGGGTGCCACCCACTGCCCCTAGTGAGCCCCCGTGTCCCCCCCATCATGCCAGAAGAGCATGCCAGCATCTGAGGCTGAGAGCCCCGGCACCCTGGGGGTTGTGGGGGCTCCCACCGAGGGTTTGGCAGGACTGCGGGGCGAGCGGGGAGCAGCGTCTCCAGCACTGATGATGATTAAACATGACAGGGAACCCATTTAGAGGATGAAACCTTCCTTCCTGCTGCTGGTGCCAGCTGAGTGCCCGCTGCACCCCGGCAGCACGGCTAATGGTGGGGCAAGGAATAAGAAGAGACACTTAGAGCAAGGGCTGGGCAGCCAGAGGGGACCAGCTCTGTGCCCCTGACGCAGCTGCCAGCAGTGCAATTGATCATGATTGATCATCATCCTTCACACAGTGTGACACCAGGAAGTGCCGGGGGCAGTGACCAGCTCCGCAGGGATCCTTCCTGCACCCCCAGGGAGGCTGCACAGGGTGGGCTGAGGCACAGCCAGAGGCTGTGGGGCTCAGCCAGCTCTCTTGGCCCCAGCATGCAGGGACAGGGGTACAGGAGAAAGACACCCAGGGCTACCCCAGCAGCCCCGGATGGGGCTGAGCCCTTGAGATGCTGTGAAGCTGAAGCCTTCCCCTGCCCTGGGCTGTCTCCAGGAGCAAACCCCAGCCCGTGCCCAGAGTTGCCAGGCCACACAGCCCCTAGTCCCTCTGCCCAGAAGGGTTGGCAGGGAGGGCAGGCATTCACCTGCAGAGAGGGGGCACGGCAGCTCCTGGCCCCGACTAGAGTTTGCAGGGCTTGGGGACACAACAGAGCTGCCCATCCAGGCAGGGGATTCCGCAGGGCTGGCTGCAGGCCTTCCCTGGCCCCTCAAGCAAGGGGGTTGCCACTGCCCAGGAGGCTGCTGCTAGTCCCTGCGGGCAGGACCCCCCGGCTGCAGGCCGTGAGGGCAGTGGC